CTGAGCTGTAGGTCTATAGATCTGTCCTTAGATCAGTCAATCATCCTGAGCTGTAGGTCTATAGATCTGTCCTTAGATCAGTCAATCATCCTGAGCTGTAGGTCTATAGATCTGTCCTTAGATCGGTCCATCTAACAGCTCAGGATGATAGACTGATCTAAGGACAGATCTATAGACTGAATCAAACCGAACATTTCTGTCAGATGGAAGCTTTAACAGAGAGGTGTTGATCTGGTATCTGAGCAGAACCCATAAAACCCAGACGTACCTGAGGACCAGCAGGCTCCGCCTCCAGAACCTTCCATTGTAACGTCTCTGTTCTGTTGTGTTTCAGGTCTACGAGCAGGACGACCTGTCGGAGCAGATGGCCAGTCTAGAAGGACTGATGCAGCAGCTGAACGCCATCACTGGCTCCGCCTTCTAACCTGCCGTGGCCTTCAGCCGTGGACCAGACTGGAACCTCCCTGCTAGCCTCCATATCTCCTGCTGTCAGTTTTCCTGGAGTGACTTCTGGATCGTGGCCCGGATTGAAACGGGAATAAAACAGGCAGCAGGAACTCAGCTGCTTCGACTCCATGAACTAGACCTGATCTGAGGTGATTCTCTACCTGCGAACTCCAGCTTCTTCAACCTCAGACAGGAAACCGAAAAAAATCCAATGCCCAGAGGCTGACGAGCAGGAGGGAGAGAATATCAGCAAAATAGACAAAGATCCTCCTCTTTCTCCTATCTGTGGTATTTATGAGCGTCGTCCTCCACAGCTACGGCCGGAGGAGATGCATCACTCGGTTTTTTATCTTTGTGCATTCACAGGATGTGGATTTAGTTTGAATTCCTACATTTAGGAAAAAACAGAACATTTTCAGCCACCAAAGTTTCACTGGAACCTTATCTTTCTCGTGGACCTACTGCTGCCCATCATTGTTCGTGTGTTTTCCTTCTTCATTTACTTGTTGTCTTCTAAAAAAGGAAAACTATCTGCTGAATGAGCCGTCGCCCTGGCAACGCGTGTAGCCCCTCCTTTTCCCTGATGATGGGAATTAGGAAACAAAAGTTCTCCTGAACTCTTTCCAGATCCTCATGGTCTGCTTCTGTTTCAGCCCAGAAAAACAAACATCTTTTCCAGCGGAAGTTGTGTTGCTGCCAAATTGTCACCTTGAAAGCTTCATGTGAATCTTTACTTTTGTTTCTTTCTGTCTGAATGAACGAACAGATGGAGGAAAAAAGGAACCAAAATCCAAACAGTTTAACTTTAGAGTGACCAGACAGGGACCAGACGGAGGTCAGGGATCAAATTCACAGCTGTGTTCAAAATGGCCGCCGCTCAACGTTTAGCTGTTAAACACGGAAACATTTAATAGTTTAAAATCTGTCTAATGCTGCCTTCATGTGGTAAAAATCATCCTTTGGAAAGTTAAAGTTCTTCCTGGGAAAGTTAAAGTTAGAAAAAAATCATTTTGGCGATATATTGTGAGTTTTGGCTGCCTGATGTTATATCGATCTTTTATTTCCTAGTTTCGATTTTTAACCAAAAGATTTTTATCTAAAATTATGAGGGAAATAGGTTCACACCTGATCCGCCACTCTGGCAGACGGCGCCATGCAGCCTTCTGCTGCGCGGCGCAGCGCCGTCTCTGTAGTTCAAGCAGTCAGAGTGGAAGACATCGACCAACTCAAACCCCCCAAAAAAATAAATAAATAAATGATCAATACCTTCTGATGGACGTTTGCAGTTTGCTTTCTTATCTATACACTAAAGTTTGATAGCTGGGAAAAATATCGCGATACTTGTTGATATTTCAGTATTGTGATAATATCGTACCGTGACCCAAGTATCGTGACACCCATCCCAATACTCCGCCCTAATGCTGGCGCCTCTACATCAGTCACATGACCAAACCCAGCTGTGACGTCAGTGTCGTCAAACGTCTTCCGGCGCGTTTATAGAAACACTACTTCACGCATTGCTAAGCTCTATGAAAGCATCGTTAAAACGTCATTAAAATGGTCTGTGGCAGGAATGGCTTTGGATCGGGAAAAGGAATGTTTAATTATCCGAAGGACCCGGTTTGGCGTTAAATTTCTGTCCTAAAAGTAAATAAATTAGACAAAAACCTTCCGGAGAATCTGTGGCGTCCAAACCGATACGGCAAACGATGTTTGGATCACTTTATGGCATCGATCCTGCTCTCACAGGTCGCCGCTCTCCGCAGTGCTGAAAGGTCATCTTAGAAACTTATGTTTCATAAGATTTCTCAGCTTTCCAGTAGAAATTCCAACATCACTGCATGTTCATGTGCAGCTTTGATCTAGTATTTTATTTCTCATATTTACGATCCCACATGAAGGCAGCATGAAAGACCATGTAGCTTCAGCCACCAAAGCGTTCTATGCTAACCCCGACAGCGCAGAGCAAACCGATTAAAACCTCTGATTCTACTAAACTATGTCATACGGAGCCCCCTGGGTGTCAGGGGAAAAAATAATAAAAAAGCCGGTGGAAATCCGTGGGAACGGAGCAGCTGTGTGCGCACGGATTGCAAAGTTTATTGATCCTAGCGCACGGATCAATAAACCGAGAGCACAGTTTCTTAATCTGCGCACACGGATCGGAAAACTGCGCTCAGTTTATCAATCCGTGCCCACGGACACCCAGGGGGGTCCGTAATGTCAAAAGCTTTTATGTCAAAAAATATTATTTCTCTGATATAAAAAAACTCACTGGATAGTTTTTATAGTTATTAGCCAGCTAGTTAGCTTCCACAGTTCTCTACATGCTTCAGAATGCTAGTAGATGCTAAAATATATGTCACTATGCTAAATCTTAGCACTGGCATGTTAACATTTTTTCTTATTCATTGATTTTCCTGTTAGCCGTTCAACAATTGCGTTTGTGTATAGCAACAAAAACAGCATGCTAACATATAGCTTTGATGTTCAACAATTGATATGATCAGATAGCAAATGGAATAACAACAGCGAGCTAATGGGTGTAGCTATGGTTAGCATCTTGCTAAAGGAGAAGAAAACTTCAGCATGCCATTAATATTCGTGCTACAGTTGCATAAAGCGTTAACTCGCTAAAGGTATCCACATTATTGTTAGCCTAAAGACATTAGCACACTGACACTTAGCCTCTACAATTGACATTTTATCATATACTTTAGCGTTAGCGGGCTAATGGATGGAGTGATAAGTGACAGCAATCAGCAACCACAATATTTCACCAATAACACTAATATTAGCACGCTGATGCTAATGGTAACTATCTCCTAGTGATGGGTCTCGGTGCGTGTTGGTTAGCGATACCAGCGCTGTTTCAAAATGACTGCCGCACTAAACTGTGTTTATTAGCGCATCTGTGAAGGAGATGCAAGAAAGGATTCACCCGATTGGACCATTTTCATCTCGTATCTCGCTGTGTCATCCTGTTCTTCTCAGTTTTCACCAAAGTTCTCTGAACTTAATTAAATTCAAATTGACATTTAGTTTATACGACGGAGTATTAGGGCCAGGCTAGAGAATTTATTTTTATTATGAGAATAAAGTCGTAACATTACCAGAATAAAGTCATCATACCACAACGTGTTTCAGAAAGAAAGCCTGGAGCTCCGACCAGCAGATGATTGAAGAAGCTGCTTCTTTTAAGAGTTGGA